TCTTTCTCTTCCTTTATATAGATCTCCACGATAATCATCACTACGATCATCATGACTATCTTTAGATTCATGAGGATGAGAATGAGGATGAGAATGAGAATATAGTAGATGCTGCTGATGAACAATTTAATTCAACAGAATTTTTTAATACAACTAAAAAAATTTTAGGTGTGATTTAATTATTTAAAAGAATTTACAAAGAAACTTCATTTATTGATTTAAAAAAATCTTTTTTTAGATACTTTTAATGAATCATCTATTAATTCAGGAAAAAAACAAACAGGTATTTTAATAAATATTCTTTAAATAATGATGGTTATGATAGAAAAGTAATTCATATTTACATATTATATCATTTCTAAAAGTTTGGAATCGATCAAAAATAATAGAAAGTATGGTTGATAGTGATGATGATGATGATTTTGATATGAAGTCTTATATGCAATCAATGGATCACGAAATTTCAAATACAAACATTCCTAAATCATTTATTTATAGTTATCCAGATCAACTGTCCAGTCAATCAAAATCTGAATTAGTAAATTCTTATAATGAGCCCAATATCTATTCTAAAAAGAATGATTTACATGTACAGGGTGATAATGATGATGATAAAGAATTAGATAGATCAGTTGATATTGATTTAAATCTTATAACAAACTTACTAGAGAGTTTCAAAGCCCAAGAAGGCTTGCCTGGTCCTGGTGGAACTATTTTTGGAAAATTAGGGGTTGGTGCAATTCCATTAGATAAAGAAGAGGAAGAAGAAAAAGATGATGATGATGTGAAAGTGAAGAATAAATAAATAAATAATATTTACATCTTAATCTTCAATTTATTTTTATTGGCCAAATGTTTTATTATAGTTGCATTTGAAAAATGATTTTTGTTATTTAAAAATAGTCTGACAAATCTGCACCTCATATAAATCTCTAGATTTACTTAAAGTAGTGTTTTATTTAGCTTATACAATTGTGGCTGAGTGTCTCCTTGATAGTTTAATTCTCAATTGCGATTGCTTTTCTTTTGTATATGATATTAATAGTGCTGGGTCTATTAATCTGTGTGGGGGCAAGTTTTACTTCCCCATCCAGTAACATTTTCTCAGCAGTTCTTTGTTATCTGCATTGAAAATTTTGGTGGATGAAGTTTATGGGTTTTCTTTCTTCTTGGTAAATTTCATAGATAATCCTTCATTCCTTAGATAAACTTCCAATGTCTGAGTATCATTTATTTTGAAAATATAAGGAGCAATCTTTTCTCCTTGTTTTTTCTTCAAAATATGCTTAATTCTTGGGCTCTGTGGTAGATTTGAAGTAAATGAGTTTCATATTAATCAAGGAGTAATTAGTGTTGAAAAATTCAGTGTAACGTTACTAAGGATACCGGCTGCAACTTTTGATGATGGTTGCTACCATCTTTGCGTCATATAAAAACGATTGCAACCACTGGTTGCAACCATTTTGTTTCCTTTTTTGGATTGCGACATGGAACACTAAACGTTACACTATGATTATGTGTGCACATAATGAATTAATTAAAATTTAAATTTGCTATACATATGCAATTATAAGTAATTTTTATGTAGGAATTAAATTTATAAAAACTTAAACAAGAATAAGATTCAACAAAACTTTCCCTCCAGCACTATCAAAATAATAATAGAGAAATGAATTTCATTCAATTGTGAAAACACATTTTAGATACTGATGAAAATTTTCCTTTAATAATCCAAATATATTGTTATTGTTAGAATGACACTTCTTATACCTCTTTCTAATGCTCATGTAGAAAGAATATTCTCTCAAACAAAGTTAATTAAAAACAAATTGAAAAAAAAATGCTTTTAGATACATTAGATGCTCATCTAATGATTTTATTAAATGGATCAAAATTCTGATTTTTTTAAAAGCACTAAAACATTGGGGGAGTAAAAGCAAAAAAAACATTTTGTTTTTTTTTGTTTTGTATATGGGGAATGCTGCAACAAACCAGGTAAAGTGAACATTGGTATTGCCAATGATTAATAATGTTTGTTTTTAACATCACAAATTATAATTTAACAGGTTAAATTAAGAGGAGTACTAGATTTCAGAGATCTAAGTTGGTATTTAATACTAAATTGGATATTAATTAATATGCATTTTCCTGTATAATATGTATAATGATATATGCAACCGTTACTATAGATTTAATGACATTGCTTTAAAATCTTTATGATTTAAAGATAATTTGTTGACTTATTAAAATGTAAAATTTTTTAGCAAAGTAATTTATTTTATCTTTAAAGATGTTAAATACTATATGTATATCAATTGATATAATAATCAATCTATTTAGCAATCAAATTTTCTAAACAATACAAATCATGCTTTTTCTTCATAATTGCACCATCCTTAATACCCTCTACCTGGTTAAATTTTGAGTTCAAGAAAAATGGATAATGTTCTGTTTCAGTCCAGTTAAAATTTATCAAATAAGTCTTTTCCATATTTTTATCATACAAAATACTGCTTGGTTGAAGATTTCCAGGAACAAAATTATTCTGATATAATACACTAATTGTTTTGGATACTTTTTCAATAATATTTTGCTTATCTTGAGTATTCAAATCATCACAATTGCACAAGGATTTTCCTAAATTTAATTTCAATGAATAATAAATCAAAACTAATATAATTACAAATTTCCACCATTTACTAATAACTTTTTCCAGGGTTGGTAAATTTGCTGGTCCGTTGAGAAATGATGGACTTTGAACTGGTCCATCGCCATTAATAAAATACTAAATATGGTTAAAATGGTACACTAATGGACCCAATTGATCACCAAATAGACCACCAATGGACCACACATTTGCCAACCCTGACTTCTTCCATAATCCAACCATGTACAATTCCTCTACAGACTTCAAATAACTGTGGTGAACCACCATTATTTGCACAGAGCTTATGGACCTCCTCATTATAATACTGAGTACACTTAACAATATAATTCCATTTATGCTATTTGCTGACAATATTAGTGGACTTATATATGCACTGTAGGTGAATGTTATACCATTAAATGAATTATAATATAGGAAATAGTTGATGAACATACCACTTGTAAATTATGATAGTATTGTGTGAGTTTTTTACAAGCATAACAAAGAGAAGCAAATGTATGAGCAAAATGAAAAAGCGTATTAGAATCCAGTATAGGAACAAGATAGAGCATATCTGCAAGTATCTCAACTTTAACTTGATCTGCAAAGACAATGCCTAATAAATTATAAATAGTAAGCAGTTTGAATGACTCAAAAATAGATACAAAAATATATGAAACTGTCCTTACCACATACACATAACCATGGACCAGCAGAACACAACAGAAAGGCTGGACATACCAAGATTTCTCTGATTTTGTTGTATCCTTTAGGTTTATCACTCCAGTTCCCACCCCAAAAAAAATTTCTCATAACAAATAGTTGATTGTAGAATGGGATCACAATTCCCTTGTGAAATTTCATTTTTTTATATCTCTTATATTTCCAAGCTTATCCCATCAATCACACTTGTTCCCATTATATAACCATCATTTTTAGGAGAACCTGTTGGTCCATTGTTGAAGGTTTTACCAAAAGAAAATGATAAAAATTAGTGACAGCTGATTGCCTAGACTCATTGTTGTAGAATTTAGACATTTTATTGAGAAAATCAAGATTTTCTGCACAGAAAGTTTCATCAATATAATCATTCTTTCACGCCTTACAAGAAGTCACTAAATATTGAATGGTAGAGCACTACTGGCTCACAACGTATTCAAGTAGCCTTCCACATTTTATATCAGCAAGTTTTTGTTGTTTAGGAAACAATTTGTGCCTAGCAGCAATTGATGGACTGCATAACATATCAATTTGTTTAAAGAGTGCCTTTCTTTTAGTACTGATACTGGTCATATCACAAGGAAAGCTTTGTTTGATGGGTAAACTTGATATAGCTAAAGAAAAATTAGTATTACCAAAAAAGCAAAGCAGATATAAGAAAAATATAGAAAGAAAATTATAAATTATCATTTCTAAAACGTGAGCATTCATCATGAAGATAATTATATAATTTCATATAGAAAGTGAAAAGTTAGTTCCCAACCTTCTGTTGCCCTACACAAAGTTTAGATACTTAAAATGCACTTAAAATATACATCATATACTTAAAATATACTTAAAATATACCG